ATTCTGGTTGCACTTCTTCCAAGGCAGATCTGTTTATTCCATGGTACTTTCAATATTTCTCCAGCACCATAATTCAAATGCATGGCTTCTTCTTTGGTCTTTCTTACTTAATGTTCAACTTTCACATGAGGCTACTGAAAATACCAAGAATTGGGTTAGGTACACCCTAGTCCGCAAAGTAACGCCTTTGCTCTGTAACATCTTAAAGAAGTCTTATGTTGTACATTTACCCAATGCAATGCATTCTTTGATTTCTTGAATGCTGCTTCCATGACCATTGATTGTAAATGCAAGCAACGTGAAACGCTTAACAACTTCAATCTTTTCTCTAATTATCATGATGTCACCTTATGGTCTAGTTGTGAGGATTTTGGTTTTCTTTACATTGAGTTGTAATCCACACTGAAGGCTGCAACCCTTGATCTTCATTAGTGATTGCTTCAAGTCCTCCTCATTGTCAGCAACAAAGGTTGTGTCATCTGCGTAACTAAGGTTATTAATATGAGAGGGTACCCCACCAAAAAACCCCCCAGAATCAGCCCCCCCAAAGATATATTTAATTTTTTTCCAAAACAACCTTATCACCTTCAAAGTACTCTACATTATACTTAATGCATATGTCAAGCCTGTAATTCTATTCTTGGAAACATTTCACAAACTTATCTGTTTGGATGGCTGACAGCATTTCCCTCGCTTTTTCTCCACCTATTCTATGCTGTCAAATCACTATACTTTCATGTCCCTATTCATTTGAGGAGACAAAAAGAAGTTGCATGGAACAAGGTCAGGTGAGTAAGGTGCATGGGGTAAGAGAGGCAAGCTGGTTCTTTTTTCCCTCCAAAAACTGGCACACTGAGATGGCTGCATGAGCAGGTGCATTGTGGTGGCAAAACTGATCCGACATCAGCCACAAATCAGGCCTTTTTTGTCACAAACTATTACACAATCTTTCCAGAACCTCTAAATAGAAAGCTTAACAGTCTGACCAGGTAGAATGAACTTCAAATGCACTATCCCCTTCAAATCAAAAAAACAAATGAGCATCAACTTGATCTTTGACTTCTGGCTTGCTTGATGTTTGGTTTCAGGGTTATAAGTTTAACACCATGTCTCCTCACCAGTACTGACCTTGGGGAAAAAGTCTGGTTCGCTTAGGAGCTGTTCTTTCAAAGCCCAACATGTTTCCACTCAACGCTCCTTTTCCTGCTCTGTCAGAACCTGAGGCACAAATTTCACAGCTACCCTTTTAATTTGCAAATCTTCCATTAAAATTTGCTGAATTGAGGTCCAAGATAGTCCAGATAACTTCCCCATGCCTTCAATGGTCCACTGTCCTAAGTCTTCGAACACAAGTGCATGAATTTTGTCAACATTTTCGTCCATTCGGTAAATTGACGGACATCCAGAATGAGGTTTGTCATCAATCGACATTTCACCTTTTTGGAAATGAGAAAATCACTCACACAATTGAGTTTCCCCCACACTGCTGTCCTTGTAAGCTGCCTTCAACATCACAGCAGTTTCTGCGGCATTTTTCCTGAGCAGGAAACAAAACTTCACAGCCGCATGCTGTTCTCTTAAATTGGCCTTCACAATAAATGAGGTTTGAGAGAAATTGCTTTTACAAAAAAATTCACTGTGACCACAGAGAACCTTCCCAGGTGATGTCACTGGGTGCACTAACTCAAAGCGAGTTGCTCTATCCTCAGCTAGCTAGAAAAATGCGTACTACAAAAGCTACACTCAGCAGATGTTTTTTCCATTTTTGGGGTGGTGGTGGTGGTGGTATGCCCTCGTAAATCTCCCTCCATTTCTGATGCCAAATTTTCCTTCATCTAAGCCAGCTTCACTGATTATTTTCTCAGCATACAGACTAAGTATTTTGAGAGCATACAATCCTGAGGCACACCTTTCTTGATTTTAAAACATGCAGTGTTCGCTTGTTCTAAGTACAGGTTTCCGCATGAATGCAATTAAGTGTTCTGGGAGTCCCTTTCTCCCTAAGGTTATCTGTAGTTTGCTATGGCCCGCACAGTCAACTATACTGTGTGAACAATAGCCACACATTAATCATTGCTATCGAGTCGATTCCAACTCACAATGATCCTATGTGACAGAGTAGAACTGCCTCTCTGGGTTTTTATGAAACGGCAACTGTTTATTGGAGTAGAAAGCCTCATATTTCTCCTGTGGGGTGGTTGGTGGCTTTGAATTGCTGAGTTTGTGGTTAGCAGCTCAATGTGTAACCCACTGTAGCATCAGGTCTCCTTAGTAGCCATAAATCACAAAAGGGCACTGTTTTAACCAGATTGGCCCCTCAGTACTTCCAAAGGCTTTTAGAGTTCCTCAAGAATCTAAAGGAGGGGCTCTGCTGGCACAATGGCTAAGTGTTTGGCTGCTAGACAGGTTGCCAGTTCAAATCCACTCAGTGTCTCTGCAGGAGAAAAGTTTTACCGGTCTGTTTTCTTTAAAATGAATACCCAGACCTGTACTCAAGTACTCCCTCAATGCAAGAACACTTTCTTCTAATAACCTGGCATTCCACGATGCTCACCTTCCCGACATGATCACTGACGACAATATGGGTGCATAAGCAAATGTGATGAAGACAGCTGATGGTGCCCGGCTATCAAAAGATATAGTATCTGGGGTCTTAAAGGCATGAAGCGGTTATCTAGCTGAGAAGCAACATAGTCCACGTGGAAAAAGCACACCAGCCTGTGTGATCATGAGGTGTCGACAGGATCAGGTATCAGGCATCAAAGACCGAGAACAATAAATTATTTCACTGTGAATGAGGTGTAGTGCAGAGGGGAGACCCAAAGCCATCTGTAGACAATTGGACATCCCCTTACAGAAAGGTCACAAAAAGAGACAAGCCAGTCATGGTGCAGTATAGTACCATTGAAACATACAACTTTCCTCTAGTTCTTTAATGCTTCCTGCCCCCCAATATCATGACCCCAGTTGTACTTTACAAATCTAGTTAAACCAGAGCATGTACACAGGTATAGATAAGAGCTGGAAACACAGGGAATCCAGGACAGAGAAACCCCTCAGTAGCAATAATGAAAGCAGTGACACCAAAAGGGTAAAGGGTTAGGTGGGGGAGAAAGAAGGAACCAATTACAAGGATCTATCTATAACCCCCGCCCAGGGGCATGGACAACAGAAAAGTGGGTGAAGGGAGACATCGGTCAGTGTAAGAGATGACACAATAATAATAATCTATAAATTATCAAGGTTCATGAGGGAGGAAGGGTGGGGAAGGGAGAGGGGAAATGAGGAGCTGATACGAAGGACTCAAGTAAAAAGAAAATGTTTTGAAAAGCATGGTGGCAACAAACGTAC